TTCTTTTTCCTCTCTTCTTTTCTTTTCTTTCCTTTTTTCTCTCTTCTATTCTTTTCTTTCCTTTCTTTCCTCTCTTCTTTTCTTGTCTTTCCTTTTTTTCCCCTCTCTTCTTTTCTTTTCTTTCCTTTTCTTTTGCAAGGAACTTTTTTCCTCTCTTCTTTTCTTCTTTTTCCTTCTTTTTCCTCTCTTCTTTCCTTTTCTTTCCTTTTTTTCTCTCTTCTATTCTTTCTTTCCTCTCTTCTTTTCTTGTCTTTCCTTTTTTTCCCCTCTCTTCTTTTCTTTTCTTTCCTTTTCTTTTGCAAGGAACTTTTTCTTTTCTTCTTTTTTCTTTTCTTTTGCAAGAGACTTTTTTCCTCTCTTCTTTTCTTTTCTTTCCTTTTCTTTTGCAAGAGACTTTTTTTGTGTTGTTGCTGCTGCAAAACTCCGCTCCGCCAAGGGCAAAAATTGTCGCCCCACCTCCGCCCCCACCCCCACCCCCCCAGCCTGTCCCGGACCGGTTCGGATCGGCGCGGGCTCGACAGCCGGAAAGAGCCCCAGCAGGTACCGCTTGCAAAAGAAAAAAAGACCAAAAAAGGGGGGGGGGGCGATCGGGGCCAGATTGGCAGCTCCAGCCGCCTGGAAGGGGGGGAATTGTGTGTGTGTGTGTGGGGGGGGAAATGGCTTCTCCAGATCTCCCGATCTTGGATCCACCCGCTAGGAAAGGGCTCCGGGCTCCGGGTTCGGATCCTGAAGCCAGGCCCGCTTGCAAAAATTAAAATGAATAAAATAAAAATTGCAGCCTTGCAAAAAGAGAGAGAGAGAGAGAGAGAGAGAGAGGCTTTGGAAGAAGCAAAAGCGACCTGGCCGGGACGCGCGACCCGTCCGCGGGGGATCGATCGGCCGTTAGAGGATCGCCCCGATCGAACGGAGCCAGCAACGGCCGAGGCGGAGGCCCCCAGGAAGCGGGGAGGAGCAGCAGCCGCAGCCGCCGCCTCGGTAAGCCGCTTGCCATCCCATCGCCCCGGGAAGGGTTCCCTCTCCTCCCACCCCCCCGCACCAGCCCCGGGTAGCTTTTGCAGAGCTGAGCCTCTCCTCGTGGCCTCCTTTCCTTTTGGGTGGGAGGGGAGGGGGGCAAGGACTTCCCCTCCCCGCGTAGCTTTTGCAGAGCTGAGCCTCTCCTCGTGGCCTCCTTTCCTTT